CATTGAGAACAAACAGAGGCATTGCGGTGGAAGTGATTCAGATGCCAAAATCTTCAACAAATGATGCTTGGGGGATTGATAAAGGAGAAGAATTGTGAGGTGTAAAGGTATTATAACTGGGTGGCCTAAGCCTCAGGGCGTCAGAGTTTTCGCAAGACTTGTAGGACCATAGAGTGTCATCCAATGGAAGCAACACCAGAAATCTAGGAAGATATCAATCCCAGCTCCCACACCTGAAGTGGGTGGGAATGAGGCAGTGTCAACCTCCCCTGGAGACAACCAGGGAGACAGTATCAAGTCCAGGCTTGAATTAACATAATAAGATAAAGAGATTGAAAAGAGTCCTTAGGTCAGAAAGTCAGAATTTCTGAGTTTAGTTTTTAACTAAAAAGTTTTGGAGGTAGGGGCAGAATGAGCAGCTGAGTCAGGGAGAGAAAGCACAGGGGAGTATGAGAATGAGTGCTCAGGGAAAGAGACATGACCAAAAAGATTTACACCTAAAGTGATGAACGGGAAGGGAAGCAAGTGAAGTGGACTCAGGTCTCACAGAATCAGCTGTGGCCCAGAAAGTAGGCCTTCCGGTGGGGAACAGATAAGACCATGTTGTAATCTCTTGATTTGCCTGGCTTACATAGTGGCTGCAGCCAATAGAAAGGGCCAGCCTAGAGCTCCATTGTGTGGAGTGGCAACAAAGGGCAGGCCAACACAATCCCCATGGGATGGGCCACAGCAGCTCAGCATGGGCTTCTTAGGGTCAGTTGAAGGTGGGGAGGGGGATGGTGGGACTTACAGATACTCTTCCGTTCTGTACTATCTCAGGGCATGTGCAGGATTGAATCTGTAGGTAAAGCTGTTAATCATTCAGGTTTATGGGTATCAAGGAAGAGGGGGCTGGTATATAGTATCTGTGGCTCCAGAAGTGACCAGAGCCTCAGGTTCCTCTTTGAGTTTTTCATGGTGCATTCTCAGTGAATTTTGTTTGTACTCAACTTCCTAGGCTTAACAGAGGAAGAAACCAAAACCTGTATCCGGATTGAAACAAAGAAACGTGTTTTTGGTTTTAAGAAAAAAAAAGTGCAACACCGGTGCACTACTAACAAGCTATCAGAAAAACATGAAGGTAACACTGTTCTCTCTTAGCAGCTTATCCAGTGTGCCCTGAGACTGGCTGTCATGTAAGCACCATATTGCACATGACTGTGCTATTTTTAATTTTTCATTTATTTTATTTATCTGCCTCAGAGCCTTGTGTTGGGGGGGAGGTGGGGGTTGCAAATAAAATATCATTAGCAATGGTTAAGGTTCTCTTTGTCTTATACGTATGTTGTTCAATTTAATGAACAATTATTTATTGATTTTTTTCCCACGGGCAAACCTCAGTATTAGATATTGTGAAGTAAATATAGGTGTGAACTAAGCCTTCCTATCAAGGGCCTTACAAAGTAAGAACACATATAAATAGCCATTAAAAATATAGACTGATAATGGTCTAAGAGAAGTTTATTTTTTAAAAGGCTATAAAAGTACCATGGGCAGAAGAAAATGGGTAGAGGGAAATCCCAAGAACAAAATACATCATGTTTCTTGAAGAGAATTGTTTTGGGTCTATGCACTGAAAACGGCAGAACACTTTGGCAAACAGAAAGAGAAAGAAAATCCGGGTAAAACTACTGAAGAAAGACGTTAGAAGTCAGGTTTTGTAGAATGATCTCACTCCTTCCCAGAGTGTCAGCCACTCCACTGCCTATGGGCTTTTACTCTTACATCCTCATCCCCAACCCAGCCATCCCTTCTGAGCTTCAGACACCTACGTCCACTAAACATCCCTAGGCACCAACACTTCACATATTCTCTCCCTGCTGCCAGTGGTTACCATCACTGTCTACTCAACTGTAAAATCCAAACAGTTCACTAGTTTATAGCCTAATAGGACTATTGTGAAGATTTAGCAACATGATGTTTATAAGGGGCCTCACATAGTGACCAGCAATAATTGGTTCCTTTCGCCTTCCCTCTCCTTAGAAAGCAATCCCAGTCTTGATGAATGGCATTGCCGTCAACTAAGTCAGCCAAGCCAGAAACCTGACTGTCGGTTCTGCACTCTTTCTAGCCTCCACACCTAATAAGTAACCATGCATAATCCACTCTACCTCCTCAATACCCCTCCAAATTGTCTCCATGTCTTTATTTCTATGGGTATACCCTTCATTCATTATTTCCAGCCTGGATTATCACAAAAGCCTCCTAACTGGTCTTCTTGCTTCTAGTCTTGTCTTCCTCCAGTTTATTCCACACATTTCTGTGAGAGGAATTTTCTTCATGGCAAATCTTATTCACGAAACTTCCTACTTTGAATATGTCATGATTCTTCATGGTCTTAAGTATAAGTTCCTGCCTATCTCTGCATAGCTAAACTTTATGCAGCCTTCTAAACAAGTCATGCTCTGTCCTATGCCTTCCTATTATAAATAACTCCTTCCTCTTTGTAAAATTCTCTTATTCCCTTATTTTGCCTGACTGATTGCTACTCATTCTGCACAGAACAAAGGGAAACAAAAGCACAGAAACTCCCAAATTTGAAGCTTACATTCTCACAGGGAAGACAGAGAAGGAACAAATAAAAATATAATATTTACTATAATAACCAATAGACAATTTTAAATATAATATCAGAACATATAGATGGTCTACATATAGATGCCTGTATTAAGCATAAGCAAAATGAGAAGAACTGGCTTGACAATTGCACTT